AMAMAAAAAACATGAGYTCTAATTTGCTCTGGTCTCACTATAACTTTCTTGAAGTTTGCCACAATATAATCTGTCTCACATTGATACTGGAACAGGGCAATTTCTTTGATTTTCCTTTAAATATAAAAGTAAAGAACCATGTATGAATTGCCAGGTGTTTTTTTTACCAATATGTGCTGCTGCTTCCTCCATTTGCATTTGCCATCAACAAACGTGTATTCCTCAGCAGTCTGAGATTGTTAAAAGCTGGAAGGCTTTCACTGAGAAGAGCCAAAGGAGTCTTTTCCTCTGCTTTTGTCCCACACCAAAAGCTTTTCTTGTGAAGCATCTCTGGTAACCCACATTGATTAAAACCATTATATTTTCCAGAGCAATTCTATGAGTACCCCTGCAAGGAATGGAGAAAGAGCTTGGTGCCAAAAGATGTTGCTTTTCTCCAAGAGACCAGTAGGGTAGGACAGTAAGCATGCTAATGAAGATTCTTAAGAGCCTGGCAGAAATGAGTGYTAGAGACATTTTTAAGTGAATTTTGACAAGGCAATTGTAATTTTTTGCCACTAATGAACACTTTCTTTGGTATTCAAGGAGAAAGAAGGAGGTCCGTCAAATGAAAGAGCTCTCTGAAGTCTTTTTGTCACAACAAAGAATGCACAAGAAGTTTTTTMACAGTTATTGAACATTCTAAATATSTACTATGGATGGCCAGGAGCCCTCATATGTGAGACAGGATTTTGAGGAGGAAACTTTTGGTCACCCAATCTGTCATTAATACCTTGGRAGGACATTGATYCTGTCATGTCTTGCAGTGTTGGATGTGCTGTAGCCTCTCCATCCACTCCATCTTGGGTTCCATTGCRGAGATCATCATCTTGGATTTTAGACTTTAAGTTAATTCATTTGGTCAACCTTTCAGCTTGAAGAAAACTTGTACAATTGGCTGCTGCCCAACGCTGTCTATTTTTAAATGGTGTGGAAGCAGGTTYTCCAGGTGCTTAACACCCAGCAGAAAATTGTGTTTGTGGGGGAAGCTGTGATCCCCAGGCTGGGGTAACCTCGCTGGGACAGTGCTCCAAGCAGGCAGCAGACATGGTATCCAAGCAAAACCAGGCAGAGCCTCAGTTCTGTGGAAATACAGCTTTTCTTTCAGCCAAGTGCCACTTGGAAGAAAGGACTGGAACGAGGCGCAATAACAAACTCTTGTGTTTCCTTCCCAGAATTACGACAACAGCTGCTTGTATGATGGACCTGCGGAGATATCCGCTGGATGAGCAGAACTGCACGCTKGAGATTGAAAGCTGTAAGTACTTCTGCAAATCCTACTTATTCTGTGGTCAACTGCTTCGGAGGTTTTATTTCTGTCGGGTTTGTTTTTTTTTCAGGTTTTGTTTGGGGTTTGTTTGTTTTTTTGGTTTGTTTTTTCACATGCTACTAACCCAGTTGTCTTTCTGTCTGATGACGTTCAGATCCTTGTAAACACATGTGAAAAAAAATAGCTTTCCAGATGGATTAGTAATTTGTGGCACAAGGATTAGCAAAAGTTATTCTGTGTTTTGATGGACAATTTACAGCTTTAAGAGTCTCATTCAAATGCCTTGTTGGAGTTCATGTGAGGAGCACAAGGATTATCATCAGTTCTTTATCCTCCTTTACTGCTGAACTGTGTGGCATCTTGTTTCTATTTATAAATGAAGGCAAGGGGTTAGAATTGTCCTTGAAATAGGTGTTTTGTGGKTTTTTTCCTAACCATTGTGCTGTAGTTAAACTYTCAATGCTTCTAAACAATCTGTTTCCATATACTGATTTAATGGCTGGTATGTTTGTTGAACTTTTTATGTGGATGAAACTTGTGAAAGTAAACCCCCTCTTTTCTCTGAAAAGAATTCGTGATCACTTTTATAATGACACTATTGCAAACATCTTATTTGACACTCTAATTAAGATTATATCAAAACTTTCAAGATTTTCTCATTTTAATATACAGTACACAAATATGTATATTTATAAAATAACTTCTGTATTATGAAATATGTGGGATTTATGTATTTAATTTGTGCTACAGTCTGGTAAGAACTTGCAGCTGAACTTCTGTTTGAGGAAGCATTTAAGAATATGCTTTACATTTGTGTTCAGATTTCATCCATTTTACTGTAATTTACAGCTATGCTAAAATCCTTGTGATAATGTTGCCTGAAATAATTTCCATGCATAAGTAAGCAGAGTGAGACTATCATTAAAATTCTGTGTGCTGATACTCACAAGCAGTAAACGTAGTGACCAAAAACTTTGGTCTGAAAGTTGATAAAATCCAGTTTATTTGAGGTTTTTTTTATAGTTCATGATAGAGTTTCTGTTGATAGCATGTGATTCAGAATTTCATACCTGTAGCCAGCTATTAGATAACCATTATAGGGGGGTATATATATCAGGCTGATTATCAGAGATTTTTATTGAGAATGTTTTTGCTATGACAGTGTCTTTAATTGTTGTTGTAGCAAAGACCTGGAATTTTTCTATTTTCCAGTTGGGTGTGTAAGGGGGGAAGATGGAGAGTCAGAGGAAATCCCTTCTCTCTGTTGACAGCCTTGTTTAAATGGCCAACAAGTTCTTGCCTTATTGGGGTTCACAAACTAGATATCCCCTGTCTCTGATCCTTTCAGAAACCACTCTGGAAAATATTTGCAGGAAACACCTGTCAGGTCAGTCCTTACACAAGACAGAAAATTAAGTTATGTCTCTGCTTAATAATGAGAGCACTTGTTCTCATTCAGACTTARAATGTGGGAGTTGGAACTTGAAATTTCCCCTTAATCAGATTTGGAGTAGAGGTTTGATGCAGTTCACTTATCATTCAAGAAACAATCCTAAAAACCAAGGTATTGGTAGTTGCTGTTCCACTTGGTGTGGAAACTTAGTGCTCGTTATATCATAGAAAGGGAGGGTAGGAGTTGAATTTCCGTGGAGTGGAGGTTATCTGTGGATTTGTGAGCTYTGTTGCAGCATCACAAAGGTAAAATGGATTTAAATCAGGATACTGCATGTAGCCAGCCTGTCTCTGACTGCARTAACAAAGAGTGTTAAAGAATGTGGATAAAGTCACCCTTGAACTGTGTTTGGGGGCAGTATCATGCTTCTTTAGAAAATGATTGGTCTTCATAAATGTCATTCTGTCCCGATGAAAACTTGTCTGTCGACCCTTCATGAATCACTTGAGGCAAAATRCTGGGAGGCAGATGGGCAGGGTGAGTAAGACTGAAATGACTTTGAGTGAATCAGTGCAGGTGCTGAAGTCACGATCACTTGTGCAAAGGGGTTAAGTGCGTGCCTGTTGAAGGTCTGTTTCTTGCCCTGCTGATCTCGTTGGGTGCCTGTTTCATCCTGCTCTCTTGTATATGATATGCCATAAATTCTACCCAAGTGTTTTCATGCCCATGAAGGCATGAAATTATTACTCACTGCTTGGGCCAACAGGTTTTTTTTTGGTTCAGTGTCTTCTCCAGCCCTCCTGGGACCTTCACAACACATTTAATGAAAATACTTGTAGTTTCTCATAGGCTTCATTTCAAGAAACTGAATGTGCCAGTCTTTTTTTAGCTTTCTCCTGCAGGAGTATGTTAAGCAAATGCAGAACTTGCATTAGTTCTTCATTAGGAATATCTCAGGCCATAAACAGTCCCAGATGAAATCTCTATTACACCGTGGCATTAATCCTGCCCTTTTCCCRATACTCATCTCTGCCTTTCTCCACAACTGCACGTCACAGGTGAGAGATTTCCTGGAACAGTACAGAAAGGTCTTTTCCTTCCTCATTCATTTTCAAGCAGTGAG